GGTAGAGTACCTGTGTTAAAACCTGACCCATGTGAACTGAGTGAGGAGGAGTCCTGAGAATCGGACCCCTGGGAATACGCCCTAATGGCGCCATACTTGTCAGGGTAGTCAGAGGACGTGTCTGTGCTGCCTGTTGGGAAAAAATGGGGAGAAACGAAACAGGAGATTTAGTATCTGTTCCTGTTTGTTAATTTGTTTGAGCCTTTTGCAGTGTTACTTAGAAATACCATTTCTACCATTAGACATTTTCAATATTGCAGAAGAAAAATTAAACAACCTGCAATTTTTGCAGACTGAAAAAATCAGGCCCAGGGTTCAATGGTGTTTAAGAGCTTTTGTGTTTACTACTGACTATAATATCCATGTAATTTTGCATGTATTTTTCAAATTGCATGTAAAATGCTTACCACCATGCAATTGTGTATGTGCTGACTATGATGTTATACCATGTTGTAAAGACCTACCGCTTGACTGTGAGTCTTCAGTAGGAGGTTTACAGACCACGTATCTGTCCCCCTGGTTAGAGGAGCCCACACTGCTGACGGAGGGGGAGGGGGAGGCTGAACTGGAGGGTCGCAGGACTCTGGAAACAGAGGAAAGAAAAGCCTCTCTTTAACTGCATCAAAGAAAATTTTCAGTATTTAACTAATGCAACAGATAGATATTTTTGATGTGATCAAACAGTGTCAGTGGGATTTATGGATTTCCCATCTTCCTTCCTACAATGTATGTGCAGTATTTCTATGTGTTCTTCTTCAACATAAAATAACATATGAATAAAGTACACCTAATTACAACCCTTACAGTCTCTCTTCAGAGCTTGAACCTGAAATTCTTTAACTGACTTAAACAAGTATTATTTTTCAATTAAATATGTTGTTAACTAGTGTACAATTATAGTACCTTTAGGCGCATAACCTACACACATATTTAGATGCACCTTCAGTTAAAAATTAGTTACACAGTTCTAAATGATATTTCCACTATTTCCAGCCCTGTTGAGCATTTTGAAAAACAAAAATTAGTACTACTAACCCTTGCTGCAGTGCAGGGATTTGAGCAGCAACACCTGCAGCAAAGTCTCCAAATGACCCTGTCGGAACATACACAATAGATGCTTTTGTATCCAATTACGACTTATGAATATTCCTTGTGAAAATGTAGCTTTTATCTTCTGGGTAGTGAAGTAACCAGCTTGCAAACATGATTATCATAGTTACTCATGTTTTCAGTATCAAGGCAAGAGCTTGACTATGAAAGCAAACAAGCAAAACTCTAACTCCCTTACATTGCAGTATGCATTTTGCTAACCTTGGTTAACCTTGCAATAACGTTTCTTGTAAATGTTTGCTTTGAAGAGTCATTTATGGGGATTAACATTAAGAGAAATCAGAATATTCTACCGGAAGAAGGTCTTGGAGCCTCCTGGAAATCTGCAAAGTCATCGTCACCTCCCATCATGCCTTGCAGCTGAGCACCCTGGGATACCGGTGGCACTGTTCCCATGATTCCCTGGGAGACGGGCACCGCAGGGGGTCCTCCCAGCATGCCCTGCGGCCCAAACGATGAAGACCGACCCTTTGGCGGAACGAGCAGGTTTTCGTCCAGCTTTGGGATGGGAGGTTGTTGAACCGTGTGCAAAAACTCCAGGGTAACGGGTCCAGTACCAGCCTGAAACAAACAAGATCTTGTTTCAAGGAATGTCAAGAAATCTATGGGCAAGCATTGGGATCCATTTTGGGTACAAATTTAGGAGTAAACTAGAAAGGTAACATTTGCAAAGCAAATACATAACGTTTACCTTTGCATATGGTCTGCTCTGTTAATTCTACTCAAACACATTCATATGTATATGGTGACAGGAGTCTAAATCCCTCCTGCTATAAAATTGCAACATGATGTAACCCAACACATTGACCTTATTTGTTTGGAGAAGAAGACACAAAGCACAAACAAAAATGGCAAGAAATTTATGGGCAGGCCTAGAACACATGTTGGGCACAAAGTTAGGAGTAAAGAACATGGAGTCAGGTACCCATTTTACACCTGGGTGGAGTAAGGAAAGTTGTGTTAAGTGCCTTTTCCAAGGACACAACGTCTGGCCAGGAATCAAACCAGATACCTCTCAATCTTGTGTTTCAGCTGTTTTTCTCAAGGCACGGTTATGCTAGCCATGCCCCACAGTTGTCCCAACACTCTCACAAACAAACAAACAAACAAACAAACAAACAAACAAACACCTGTGCTACAGCTATGAGTCCCAGTATGAGGAAGAGCTCTTCCTTGATGAGAGTACCAGGCACAGTCCTGTTAGCCATGCCAACAACTGACCCAACACTCTCACAAACAAACAAACAAACAAACAAACAAACACACACACACCTGTGCCACAGCGATGAGTCCCAGTATAAGATACAGCTCCTCCTTGATGAGAGTTCCAGGCACAGTCCTGTTAGCCATGCCCCACAGTTGACCCAACACTCTCACAAACAAACAAACAAACAAACAAATAAACAAACACCTGTGCTACAGCAATGAGCCCCAGTATAAGGTACAGCTCCTCCTTGATGAGTGTTCCAGGCACATTTCTGTTAGCCATGCCCCAAAGTTGACCCAACACTCTCACAAACAAACAAACAAACAAACAAACAAACAAACAAACAAATAAACAAACACCTGTGCTACAGCAATGAGCCCCAGTATAAGGTACAGCTCCTCCTTGATGAGTGTTCCAGGCACATTTCTGTTAGCCATGCCCCAAAGTTGACCCAACACTCTCACAAACAAACAAACAAATAAACAAACAAACAAACACCTGTGCCACAGCGATCAGTCCCAGTATGAGGTACAGCTCCTCCTTGATGAGAGTCCCAGGCACAGTTCTGTTAGCCATGCCCCACAGTTGTCCCAACACTTCCACAAACAAACAAACAAACAATCAAAGAAACAAACAAACACCTGTGCTACAGTGATGAGACCCAGTATGAGGTACAGCTCCTCCTTGATGAGTGTTCCAGGCACAGTTCTGTTAGCCATACCAACAACTGACCCAACACTCTCACAAACAAACAAACAAACAAACAAACAAACAAACAAACAAACAAACACCTGTGCTACAGCGATGAGCCCCAGTATAAGATACAACTCCTCCTTGATGAGTGTTCCAGGCACAGTCCTGTTAGCCATGCCCCAAAGTTGACCCAACACTCTCACAAACAAACAAACAAACAAACAAACAAACAAACAAACAGACAAACACATGTGCTACAGCGACGAGCCCCAGTATGAGGTACAGCTCCTCCTTGATGAGAGTTCCAGGCACAGTTCTGTTAGCCATGCCCCACAGTTGTCCCAACACTCTCACAAACAAACAAACAAACAAACAAACAAACAAACAAACAAACACCTGTGCCACAGCTATCAGTCCCAGTATGAGGTAGAGCTCTTCCTTGATGAGAGTTCCAGGCACAGTCCTGTTAGCCATACCAACAACTGACCCAACACTCTCACAAACAAACAAACAAACAAACAAACAAACAAACAAACAAACAAACACCTGTGCTACAGCGATGAGTCCCAGTATGAGGAAGAGCTCTTCCTTGATGAGAGTTCCAGGCACAGTCCTGTTAGCCATACCAACAACTGACCCAACACTCTCACAAACAAACAAACAAACAAACAAACAAACACCTGTGCTACAGTGACGAGTCCCAGTATGAGGTACAGCTCCTCCTTGATGAGAGTCCCAGGGACAGTTCTGTTGGCCATGCCCCAACGCTATCCCAACGCTCTCACAAACAAACAAACAAACAAACAAACACACACCTGTGCCACAACTCTTCCTTGATGAATGTTCCAGGCACAGTTCTGTTAGCAATGCCCCACAGTTGCCCCAACACTCTCACAAACAAACAAACAAACAAACAAACAAACAAATAAACACCTGTGCTACAGCTATGAGTCCCAGTATGAGGTACAGCTCCTCCTTGATGAGAGTTCCAGGCACAGTTCTGTTAGCCATGCCCCACAGTTGTCCCAACACTCTCACAAACAAACAAACAAACAAACACCTGTGCCACAGCGATGAGCCCCAGTATAAGGTACAACTCCTCCTTGATGAGAGTCCCGGGCACAGTTCTGTTAGCCATGCCCCACAGTTGTCCCAACACTCTCACAAACAAACAAACAAACAAACAAACAAACAAACAAACAAACAAACACCTGTGCTACAGCGATGAGTCCCAGTATAAGATACAACTCCTCCTTGATGAGAGTACCAGGCACAGTCCTGTTAGCCATGCCCCAAAGTTGTCCCAGAACCTCCTTAGGCAGACCGCTGGACACCAGGACGGGGTACAGGAGTTTGGTCTCCAGTCCAGACTCTGTCATCACGGACTCCAGGACCTTCCTGTAGGCTTCTGTAGGGGAGAATCACAGAGTAAGTATGTATAAAACTTGAAATATTCACCCTAAATTCAACTTTAGGTCCTCATCTTTAGCAATGCCATGGGCACATAAGCTGTGCGCACATACATGTACACTGATTGTCATCCTATGGCAAACTGATGTCTTTTCGGGATATTCGTACAAAATGCAGCTGTCTTTCAATGGAAAAGACTTCGATCCTTGTCATACACTGCTTGAATTTCACAATGCATGCAACTTTTTTTTTTTTTGGGGGGGGGCAACTTTTTTTTTCATACTTGCATGACAAGAAAAATGAACATCCAGTTTTACCACCCTAAAATCATTTTAGGACAGGGGCTGACCTGGAACTGCGGCATCGTTCTGACACCACAGTGGCAGGGTGGGTGCCTGGGCAACTTGTGGCGGTGCAGCTGCTGGGGAGCCTGGAGGGGTGGAAACACACATATTATTACAATAGGAACACAGACACACGGGATACACATAGCAGTTGACACTTCAACCACTTCTACTACTACTACTTCTCTATTTCTAGTACTACTTCTACTACTACTACTACTACTACTACTACTACTACTACTTCTTACCTACTTCAGCCATCTGCGGAGACTGGACTCTCCGTGAATATACCTACTACTGCTACTACTACAGTAACTACTACTACTACTACTGCTACTACTACTACTACTACTACTACTACTACTACTACTTCTACTACTATCACCACTACTACTACTGCTACTAATACTACTACTACTACTACTACTACTACTATCACTACTACTACTACTACTTCTGCTACTACTACTAACACTACTGCTTACCTAACTGTCCCTCAGCCGTCTGAGGAGACTGTGGACTCTCCACCGTGAAGACACCAGAGAAGCTGGAGGCGTCCCAGTTCCGTGCCTTCTGACTGGGTGTGGCTGTCCTGTTGATGGTCGGCATACGGGGAGCGGCGGCCTTCTGAAAAGCCTTCTTCGGTTTGTCTGGTCCCGTCAGGTCACATGACTCCAGCATCATGGACTGGAGGTCTGGGCCTGGGGTGGGACGGATTCATGGTGAAAAAAAGTTCAAAAGATACAATACCCTGTGAAGTAACTATTTTTTTGTGGTGTGGATACAAGGCATTTGATACCAGTCTTTAACTACTGACATGCCAAATTTCAACGTGCATCAAAAAGCAAATGACATGCCAAACTAAATATTTAAAGTACTGGTAGCAAACCTCTCTCTGACCGTCAGCCAACCCAGATCTGAGTGCATTTGCTTGACAGATGTGTCTAGTGAGCATTTCAAAATCAATCTGCATGCCCTATTCTGTGCAACTTGAAGCTTACAAGTTACAGATTTCCTTCTGTTTCTACTTTTTACTGTTTTAATTCTTACAGTCACACGTTCCCACACCGGGAATCGACCCCGGGCCTTGGCGGTGAGAGCGCCAAATCCTAACCACTAGACCACTTTCTACTCTCCTTATTCTTACAATACCTTTTGGCCCAGTGTCTTGAGGCAGTGAAGCCGTGCCCACAGGTTCCACTGCTGGTGTGGTCTGTACAGGAGCCTCCATCCCCTGGGGCTGACCTTGGGTCGGCCCTCCCAGGAAGGCACCAAAGTCATCATCCTGCGCGGGGGCGGCCATGTTGGCTGGAGGTGTCATGGCTGCACCGTGGGAAGAAGACGCAGGTATACCAGGAGAAGGAACTATGGAAAACGTACATAAGGGAACGGCACTTTACACAACCTTCCTTACTCCACCCAGGTGTGAATGGGTACCTAACTTCAGTTGGGAAAGTCGTATTGAGGTCACCTTGTGACGCCGAATGGCAGCCGCACAGACACTTGTGACAGTTCCACAAAAATTTTTGTGTTATCATGTGTATTATTTGATTGTTGTGAATTGTATTACTTATCATGTGTTACCCTGCATCAGTTCAGCTGTTAAAAGGCTGCGACTGCACAGTTTGGACAATAAAAAACATTATTATTTAAAATGTACATGAATCAATCAATCCGGCAAAAAAATCTTTGCTTCTTTCTTTTGAGTACGAAGAGAAAATTTAACACATTGGAATAAAAAGCTTACTACTACTGTACTATCTGTGTTTCCTTGAATATTGCCCACACTAGTGCAGGTATACAGAAAAAGTATTTCGAGCCATTGAGTAACTATCACAGAAAAGAAAGGTAAGCAAGCTTCAATTTGAAATATAACAAAAAAGTGTGTATGGATTTATTAGTATTTCAAATGATGTAAACTGTGTCTTTGTTATACATTTTTTTCTACGCTCTTCCTTCATGACTGCAATGAATAGCAGATAGCAGCCGATTTGAGATTCTCATGAATATAAAAGAAGGCTCAAAAACTTAGTCTGTCTAATCTTCATTTCTGCCCAGCCCTACAGTGTAGGATTATTGGCAGTTGTTACGCTTTGTCAGTAACAATTGTGACCCGGTACATAAAAAACAAAGGGAAAACAAGGATAACTGAGAAGGGAACATATGACAACTGATTTTATGTGTGCTAAAGATGGGACAAGTGCATTAGTGCGTTAGTAATATTTACATATATACAAGACATGATGGGATGGCTCAATGCAGCAGGGTCCTCGCCAGTTCAGATTTGAACTGGGCGAGAGACCCTGCCTCCGCTGCACCAGGCTCAAGTTCATTCCATTCCCTGGTCCATGGTCTTTCCTTACCTTGTGTTTTGGGAGTTGTGCTTCCCTTAGTGACGTCCAGGGCAAACCCCTCCACAGCCCGACCGAACATGGAGTCAAAGTTGGCCCCGCCCTTCCCCATGGAGGCGGTCCTCATGGCCCCCAGTCTCCTCTTCTGCTCCTGAAACTGTCTCTCTTTCCTCTCCTTCTCCTCTCTTTTCTTCTGTTCTTCCAGCAGCTTCTGCTGCTGCTCTGCAAACTTTCTGTGTGTCAAAACAGATAGAAGATGAGAATACAATAGAAACTAGGGTCTACATCTGTCCCTCTTTCCTCTCCTTCTCCTCTCTTTTCTTCTGTTCCTCCAGCAACTTCTGCTGCTGCTCTGCAAACTTTCTGTGTGTGTCGAGACAGATAGTAGATGAGAATACAAAAGACATACTAGTAATTTGATTTGTGACATTACAGTATCAAACAAGAAATCAGAGATTTTAGACTTCCACTAATTTCCAGGAAGTTTATAATCCTCAGCTTCCTGAATTTCCTTATGTTGACCTCTAAGTGTTTCTATGACATCTAGACTCACTTCTGTTGTTCAGCATAGTTCTTCTGCATCTCTGGGGAGTAGGCATACCCTCCACTCACAGGGACTCCATACTGTCAAATACAAACAGGCAAATATTCAATAAAAAACACTGAGTCTATCATGTACAGGTCTGAAAATAATACAATAATACAGGTAACATGCTACTTGGTACTCAATGTGCCCTGATGAAATTTCACATGCTACATGCTGTAGAGTCTTTCACAACACCCCCACTAGTAAATGATCATGAGGATACAGTAATAAAATTCATTTGCATGTTTATGCTCAAATGGAATAAATGCACATTTGACCCAGTGTTGATATCACACTTCAGAGAAGCCACATGACAAGCCTCACTGGGTCAGTCTACTGAGGAAGACTAGAGTAACTGGTCTAAAGCTCTAGGTGAGGGAACTTTGTGTTGATCTAAAGTTTTAACTCTAAACATGTAACTACCAACACAGATGAACTTTCACGATGAATCCATATTATTTACATGCTGTCACTAGATCTATATTTAATATTTACATTACATAACAGGTGAACTATATATAAGTTACAACTAAATCTATTGCAAGTTGTGGTAATGAGTCCTCACCTGTTGTGGCATGCCGCCAAACTGTGGTGCCATCCCAGGCATGGGACTCCCCCGGAAACCCTGTTGAGGCATCCCCTGCATTGGTGACCCCATCTGACCCGGCGACGGCTGTCCCATCATGCCTTGGGGCACTCCCATCATGCCTTGTGGTATAGGCCCGACTCCCATCATTCCCTGCGGTCCCATCATGCCTTGCTGCGTAATTTGCTGGCCTGGAAACATGTTGAAACCTGCATGCAGGATGGCAAGAAATTTTCACAGATGATGCTTTTTATTGTTAGTTAACATTGTACTTGTAAGTTGTTTGCATCTGAGTATAAGACCATGCAATTCAGTCTAACAGTAACAAACTTTGAATGAAAATCTTTGAATGAAAGTTCATCTGTGATGGTAAAATGGCATTAAGAAGTTCTAAAATAATATGATAAAATGAAAAATTAGTGTATACTTTTGTGTACAAATACTGTAAATCATTTTAAATTTATGTTTTTGCTAATCATAGAGTTTGAGGACTACATCATAGTACATGTACGTACTCTCAAAGGTTTGGTTGTCCCTTTAAACCCTCTTTTTGTGATTAATATTATGAACCTAAACTTTTATCTAACTCTAGTTTAAAATGGACTGCCAATGATGATGATGAGTTTAAAATGTCAGAATCTGAGATTGAACGAGTTGCTAGCTATTTAGAGATATTTTCTTTTCTAATATATATAGTATACTAGCTCAGCATCTATAGTCAGATGTAGCACAGAGGTCCTGCAATCCAAAACAGTGCATCGATCGAGATCCAATATCCTGATTAACCCATAATGAAATGGTCCTCTGGGTCTGACATGATTAAAACTCATCTCATCTCTCATCTACCCCTTACTGGGCCTATACTACTGTCATTCACTTTATGTTCACGGTAGCAAAAGTTCACGGTCTGTGAAAAATGGACATGTTCACGGAACTATATATTCAGGTTGGCGACAGGTGCAGGGATAAGAAAGTCCTGGAATTATTTGTTAACTGTAATGATAAGTTCACAGAACAGAAGCGACAGTGAAAACAGTGAACATAACAGTACAGTGAAAAAAATCAGGAATTACAGTATACTATAGTCTAATTATTCAACCGCTAGGCCATCACAGACGATCTAACAACCAGTTTCCCCAAACCTTCTCGGCTTTCTGTTCCTCTCAACGTTTCACTTTAATAGTGTCGTGCTCATCCATTCTCCTATCTTTTCCGTTGTCTAAACCATACAAAGAATTTCTTTTGTTAATTAACGTTTAACTACCACTCTTTAATTCTTTGTTCCTTGCATTTTGACGAGACCCGATGACATGTAGCCATGCTTTACTGTGGTTAGGAGGTCTTTATAAAGCGAGCTAACTCCTAACACTGGCGTAAATATCAAGTATTCGACAAAAAATACGACTCACCTGGTCTGGGCGCCCCTCCCCCTCCTGGGTAATTGGGATTTCTGGTGGAAAATAAAGAACAAAACCACATGAAATGACTTCCTTAACATCTACATACCATCTTCTTTCGCATGAAGTTGTCTTTTTCGTAAGAAATGCGCCAGAAATCGACTAATCATGAAAAATTATACCGACATCGGACAAAAACTTACCCGGAGGACGCCATCATGTATCGAAGTGCATCCTGGGTAACTTGCCCTTTGGATGACACATCCAACAGGTGGGATGGAATTTCGGACAGTCGCCTTTTCAAAAAGTTTTTCGACGCACATGGAACCCCGAATAAACAACTGAAGCAGTTGGTATCTTATGTTTTATGGATGACATCGGCGTTTTCTATTCTATTCTATATGATACTGGGCAAAGCCCTATCTAGGGCATCCCGCCCAGGGTGCACAGCTATTGCGGCCGGTGGGGTGCGGTGAAGAAAAAGTGTGCATGAAAATAAAACAGAGCAGAACATAAATTTGTGCGTTTTGTTCATGGCCGCAACTAGCAATACCAAGGGCGTTTGCATTGCATTAATTTTCGCCTACATTAAAAAACAACAAAAAAAAAAAAAACAGCAACAACAAGAAATTTTGTAAATGCCTATCGGATCCAGCAAACAATCGTTTGCGTTTGACCGCAAATGTTGACACTGACATGTTCCATCGCATCCAGCCCAACCCAGTACAGTAGCTGCCCATGATGGTACGGCTAGCCGTTTTGCTAGAATATCTAGTTCATTGGTCCGTACACATCTACAAGGACAGTTAATACTGTTGAATTCAAGAATAAAAGATCTGTTCTGTTGTACTGTCATGTTTTGTCACCTCAATTCTTGTTTAACAAGGCTTATGACCTAAAAATTTGAAAATGAAAGAGTCTTGTTTTTTGCCCGCCTTGTTTTTTTATGCCTTATCTGCTATCGCATTAGATTTGCTGTCTGCGGATGATGTCATCCATAAAATTTACATGCTGTGGCCCAAATCTTAATGGAACGGGGACAATGCGTTGTTGTAAAATCTGAACAAAGGGATACGAAAATATATCATCAAGATTGTCATCGGAGGGCATTTCATGAACTTTGAATGAAGGTTTGGAATGAAACGAGGACGTACAAGGCGTCATCGCTGACCTCAAACTGAATTAAACGTTACGTCACAAGGTTTGTACATGCCGCGGCAGTGAAATACTGAAATACTTCCGAATAGCTGTTGACTCACGAGCCAAAGCATGTGGCAATTACGTTACCGACACATTGTCTCATATAGTGAATATCTCGAATACAACTATTGATGGTCTTAAATTATCCATCGTGACCAAGTTCGTTCTAATTTCAAACATGTAATCAAAGTGATCTCGCGGTTTGTTACTTTAATTTTCGCCAGTGGTCATAGCGTAGCCTCTATCAGGCACCGCGGATCGCTGGTAGAAAAAAAAGCACCATAGGAGATCCCGTGGGTCGCAAATTGGATCTTCTATGGCCCGGGATCTTCTCTGGTATACTATCCCTTTATTTCGGCCAATGCAATTTCTACTATTTTCCAGCGATCCGCGGTGCCTGGTAGAGGCTAGTCTGTGTTGTGTGACTGTACCAGCTGCATTCAGCCCACAGTAAAACTAGAACAGCCTTATCAAGAAGGACGGAACTTTGGCTGTTTGCCGATCATTTGAATAAACTACCGGTAGTCAAACCTCTCTGGGTGGTCACTAGTCTCCACAAGACTTCTTTGCAGGCTAAATAAATGGTAGAAATCGGTCTAAAAATGGGATTTAATTGACCAGAGCAGTTGGCCGGCCCGAGAGGGTCAATTTGACGGCAAAGGTGAAGGCATGAAGGACCCCCTCTGGCCGTCCAACTGCTCTGGCTAATTAAATCCCCGTTTTAGACCGATTTTTACTATTTATTCAGCCTGCAAAGGAGTCTTGTGGAGACTAGGGGGTCACGGGAACACTGTGCTACGCGCAGACGCGGCAATCATTTGCTGAACACATCCGCTAGCAACAGACTGAGGCTCCAGTACATAGTTCAGCCATTTTCATTCACGTAAAAACCGTTACAGTGACAGTGAAACATTAGGACACATATCAAACATACGTTTTATTTTCTGGTAGGAAAACTCAGGATGGCTTCACGACGAGGTCCGGCCGTGTTACTGCTGATGTTGACGACGTGGTCGGCCGGCTGCACTGGTACCAGGTACGGGGGGACAAGCCGTGCCACAAGTAAGTCATAAGCTAGATCCATCTGTTATTAATATAATAATTAATGGTTTGTTAAGTTATTTCAATACCAATGCCACAAACTTCGCAGCCAAAATGGCTGAATTGCGTTAGGACATTTACAATTCGAATAGAGACATGATTAAAACATACTTACATAAACATGCAATATTTACATAAACGTACGGAGTAAAAAAAGTTCTATACAGCATTGCATTTGACAGAGATCAGTTATATCCACAAGTTAAAAACTATTATATCATTAACGTTACAGCCGGCTTAATTAGGAGGCGAGAAGAAGTTGAACCTGTATAAATGTTGGGCTACAGCTAGCGCACAGAAAGTAAATGCCACACACGTGTACATACCAAATACTACATGTAGTAGGTAATACCCATTCAAAGTCTATTGAAGCCACGTGGCATTTTCGAATGTCAGAATAAAATCCATACTAAAATGCCACGTACGTTTTCGTGTTGACGAGAGAAGGACTTTACATAACAGAATTCACAGGCATATATATTATGATAATCGGCTTTGTTCTGACACCGAAACGATAACAGGAAGGGGAACAAACTTTGGCAAGCAAACGCGATGAGATCATGACTATTTATAGTGATATTCTCAAAGCAGAAGTTTGGATTTGCAGCCTCTACCAGGCTCCGGGAGCGGGTGGAAATTGGCGAAATACATGTAGACAGATAACACGCCAGGGAAGTTTGTCCGCAGTTTGCTAGCCTGGGTAAAATATTTTTAGGGAGCGAGTATGGGAGCCCCGGCATACAAATAGGATGGCACCCAGGCTAGCAGTTTGCCGCTAACTGCGAAACTAAATTTATGCTCTTTCCAGCCGCTTCAGCCTGGTACTGGCTATGATGCACGATATGGAAGTATGACGACGAGACATACAAACCGTAAAAAGATCTTCACAAACGTGTGCTTGTATTTGCTTCTACTTGTATCTGCTTGCACCCCTGTAGCGTCCTGCGCCGGCCGCTGTGGCGAGCAGTATAACAACGGGAACCACTGCCACTGTAACGACCTGTGCAGTCAGTACGGCAACTGCTGCAGCGACTACAACGCCATATGCGTTATCGGAGGTAAGGGGCGTGGAATTTAAAAAAAAGAACAAGATATTCCTGGGAAGATAGAGACTTTGTTATACACTCACTCACTCACTCACTCACTAGATTTAAAATCATCCATACGTAATGATAATGTAGCTTATACTATACAAAAGAAGACAGTTGCTCAAGCAACTAGATAGATTGTTAAAATCCCCTCCAGGTGCTTGAGTAACTGTTTTCTTGTACTACTATGTGTATGTGTACCTGGATGTGTAACCTTCTTCGGCACGTATAGGTTATGCTATTACTAATATCGACAATATGAGTTCTAAACGTAGGAGGCGTTAGTTTTGTAGAATTGTTGTCGTTTCAGACTCGTTGTCATGATCATGCATTGTGCCTCATATGATTGTCGAGCAATAAAGCTTTATTCATTCCTTCATCCGTTGTTCCATCCATCTATCCGTTAGCCTGCCATCCTCCGTAGTTTCCGTCGGCCCCTTAATGTCGCTGGCAATTAGGGAACCGGTGGAAACTACGGAGGATGGCACCCAGGCTATCTATCCGTCCGTCCGTCCGTCTGTGTGTTAATCCGTCCTTCCGTTCGTCCTACCTGTCCAGTGAGCTGTGCCACCAGGTGTAGTGAAGCCTACGACAGCTCCAACACGTGCCACTGTAACGCCAGGTGTTCCTTACCTGTTCTGTTTTACCTGTCTTGTCTTACCTGTCTTGTTTCACCTGTCCAGTGAGCTGTGCCACCAGGTGTGGTGAAGCTTATGACAGCTCCAACACGTGCCACTGTAACGACAGGTGTTCCTTACCTGTTCTGTCTTACCTGTTCTGTCTTACCTGTCTTGTTTCACCTGTTCCAGTGAGCTGCGCCACCAGGTGTGGTGAAGCCTATGACAGCTCCAACACGTGCCACTTTAACGCCAGGTGTTCCTTACCTGTTCTGTCTTACCTGTTCTGCTTTACCTGTTCTGTTTCACCTGTTCTGTTTCACCTGTCCAGTGAGCTGTGCCACCAGGTGTGGTGAAACAAAACTACAGCTCCAACACGTGCCACTTTAACGACAGGTATCAGGGAAAACCCCGTGCATCACCTGTTCTGTTTTATCTTACCTGTCTTGTCTGACCTGTTCTGTCTCACCTGTTCTGTTTCACCTGCCCAGTGAGTTGCGCCACCAGGTGTGGTGAAGCCTACGACAGCTCCAACACGTGTCACTGTAACAACAGGTGTCAGGAGTTCAGTAACTGCTGTGATGACTACAGCGCCTTCTGTGTTGCTACGACCACAACTGCGCAAAGTAAGTGTGATCAAAATGTACCGGAAGGTATCTGTGAGATATCTTTCTCCACGTATTTTACTCGAATTTTGGCGTTCTTGTTGTCACCTCCGGAGGAAAGTTTAGTGACTGAGCTATCGGTGTTTGTGTATCTGTTTGTCCGGACAGAGCAGGTTGACAACACATGGGGGAGAAGATCAAACATGCCTTTGGGTGAACGTGAAAATCTCAGAATCTGGCCGGCAGCCATCAGAAATTAGTGGTCAACTTGGGAGGGTTCTGGGAATTCTAATGCTGGCGCTAACCTAAACTTAATGCAATTTTGGCAAGCTGGATTTTCAGTTTTGCGCGGCGGCAGTTTTCTGGGCAATCTTTTATTGTAGTATTCTTTTGTATCGTAGGCCTAGCCTCTACCAGGCACCACGGGTCGCTGGAAAAATAGTAGAAATTGGCCGAAATAAGGGGATAGTATACCAGGGGAGTTAGCCGGCCAGAGAGGATCCAATTTGCGACGGTGGGTCGCAAAAGCTTCAAGTATGAAATGATTGTATAAGTAAATCTCAATACCATACAGATTTCCTCCTACGGAATATTTTTGTTTTGATTCCCTAAAATTGCACTGGATGCCTTTAACGGTTCTCCCGAACCTCCCCCTGCAGCGACCACCCTGCCGGCTGTCCCATCCTCCCCCCTACCCGTCACGGCTGCCGAGCTGTCCAGCGTCGCCGACGATCTGTGGTACGGTGACGTCAACTACGCCCGAGAGGGGGTGGACTTCACCTTGAATCTGCAGAATTACGTCACCAACACGGCGCTGCACTCCGACTACTCGTCGTCAAGGTGAAGCTAGCTCCTAGTTTTTACATCTTTTATTTTTTTTTAAATTCCGAAATATGTAATCACGAGACGTGATGACGACACACTCAAGTTTTGTCAACTTATATTAATGCCGACACCAACACAGGGACAGTACAATACTCATTTACACCTGAGCGAAGTGAGGAAAGTCGTGTAAAGTGTCTTTCCCAAGGGCACAAGATCGGTGGCACGTCAGGACTCGAACCCGGGGCCTCTGGTTCCGAGTCGAGCACTCTGCCGCTACGCCACACTTACATTTTTTGGCGACGCCTCAGGTACGAGCCAAATGGTACAGTGTGTATCCAGGTTGGAAAAATTCCTAAGCTTAGGAAATTGTACTATTAACACGCATGGCGGTGCTACCTCAGCCCTATCTCTTACGCCTTTTAGTTTCTAAAAAAAATGACGAGGAAACAAGGGCTAGGGTTAAGATTTTCCGAGCAGAGAAAGTCTTGTAGTTTTTCTGGACACACTGCTGATATCACATTTGGTAAGAAACTCAAGTTGAATAAATAGTAGAAATCGCCATAAAATAATGTAGCTGACCAAGAGGAAGTAGCCGGCCATATATAAATTTGACCTTCTATGGCCAGCCAACTCCAGTGGCCAGCTACATTCTTTTTAGGCGGATTTCTAGCATTTATCAGCCTGTAAAGGAGACTAGATTTCAATATTTATGGCCAGTCTCCTCAACCTTTGTTATTACAAAATATCTGCGCCTTTTCCAGACTGTTCTCGTACATGAACGAGAACGGCGTGCTCTCGTCCCCAACCTACGCAGCCTTCGCCGCCATCTTGAACAATTACATCGCGCAGACCGGAAACACTGAGCACGTGACGTCAGCAGAGTCGGCCGAGAACGAGGCTTTCCTCAGCGAGATCATGACGACACAGGTCATGGTCAAAGTTCACGACTTCCTGCGCTGGAAGGGTGAGTCGGTTTTTATATACATGAAAAAATGGAAGTATTGTTTATGGTTCATCTGTGTGTGTGTGTGTATGTGTGTGTGTGTGTGTGTGTGTGTGTGTGTGTGTGTGTGTGTGTGTGTGTGTGTGTGTGTGTGTGTGTGTGTGTGTGTGTGTGTGTGTGTGTGTGTGTGTGTGTGTGTGTGTGTGTGTGTGTGTGTGTGTGTGTGTGTGTGTGTGTGTGTGTGTGTGTGTCTGTGTGTGTGTATGTATGTGTGTGTGTATGTGTGTGTTTGTTTGTGTGTGTGTGTGTGTGTGTATGTCTCTGTGTGTGTGTGTGTATGTGTGTCTGTGTGTGTGTGTGTCTGTGTCTGTGCGCGTGTGTGTGTATATGTGTATGAGTGTGTATTAACGTTACATGATGACCTAGATAAAGAATTCCAATTTCTGAGGAAGGTTTGATAAATTACCTGTACCATTCCTGGATACATCTAATGATAAATTGTAACTTGAACCACCAATGCTACACAGCTTCAAACGTCTTCTAAAATAACTTTATTTCTATTGTAAAAGTGGCTGAGAGAATATAAGTTGTGCAGCCATCTCCTTTCATTTGTATTTATCGCTGTTTTTCTAAGTAAAAAAATGCTACACATGTTTTTGTGCTTTCAGGAATCGTGCCGTATGACGAGGCCGGCTTCAAGGCGCGTCTGAACGAGATCTGGTTCGGGCGCTACTCTCGACAAAACGGCAGACTGGACACGTCCGGGTTCGAGCACGTGTTCGTGGGTGTGTGACAGATAGGGCCTTGGTGTTGGGTTTCTTAGCGTCTATTTGATGTACTTTAGATAGATTTAGCTATTCATACTAGCCGCTCTCGCCAGCTACTGGTAAATGATAATTACAGATAACCTTTATTGTACATTCATGCCCTATCAGGCTAAGTACTGGTAAACAGATGCAAAGGTATATACTAGTAGTACAGACAGGACAACGTACTGACATTAGCTCTAAAACTACTCTAATACAGAGGTTCGACTTTTCGTTTGTTTCTTTGTGATGTTAAAAGTATAAGATGGGTTTGTTAAATACAGATGATTAAAGTGCATAAGAAAAATGAATTTATGCACATGTACATACAAGCCACGCCTCCATATGGTCTAGCTCATAGGTGATGGCCGTTACAAAAGATTCTTTATTGACACAACAAAAAGTAAAGACACTTTTGTATGGTCTTCTACAACTAAAGATCTAACAAAGCTAAATACATGTGTGGATAACGTCATCTTACGTACAGAGTATATGCACATGTTGGAGAAT